CCTGCTACTGCTGCAGCTAAGGAGCATTAGCATAAGTTACCGCTGTAGATAGGGAGCGTTAGCATAAGTTACCGCTGTAGATAGGGAGCATTAGCATAAGTTACCGCTGCAGCTAAGGAGTGTTAGCATAAGTTACCACTATAGCTAAGGAGTGTTAGCATAAGTTACCACTATAGCTAAGGAGTGTTAGCATAAGTTACCATTATAGCTAAAGAGTGTTTGCATAAGTTGCCGCTGCAGCTAAGGAGTGTTAGCATAATTTACCACTATAGCTAAGGAGTGTTAGCATAAGTTACCATTATAGCTAAAGAGTGTTAGCATAAGTTACCGCTGCAACTAAGGAGCATTAGCATAAGTTGCCGCTGAAGCTGACGAGTGTTAGCATACGTTAGCGCTGCAGCTAAGAAGCATTAGCATAAGTTACCACTTTAGCTAAGGAGCGTTAGCATAAGTTACCGCTGCAGCTAAGGAGCATTAGCATAAGTTACCGCTGCAGCTAAGGAGTGTTAGCATATGTTATCACTATAGCTAAGGAGTGTTAGCATAAGTTACCGCTGCAACTAAGAAGTGTTAGCATAAGTTACCATTATAGCTAAAGAGTGTTAGCATAAGTTACCGCTGCAACTAAGGAGCATTAGCATAAGTTGCCGCTGCAGCTGAGGAGTGTTAGCATAAGTTACCGCTGCAGCTAAGAAGCATTAGCATAAGTTGCCACTTTAGTTAAGGAGCGTTAGCATAAGTTACCACTGCAGCTAAGGAGCGTTAGCATAAGTTACAGCTGTAGCTAAGGAGTGTTAGCATATGTTATCACTATAGCTAAGGAGTGTTAGCATAAGTTACCGCTGCAACTAAGAAGAGTTAGCATAAGTTACCATTATAGCTAGAGTGTTAGCATAAGTTACCGCTGAAGCTACAGAGCACTAGCATAAGTTACTGCTGCAGCTAAGGAGCATTAGCATAAATTATTGCTGTAGCTAAGGAGCATTAGCATCGGGTACCGCTGTAGCTAAGGAGAATTAGCATAGGTTGCCGCTGAGCCCTTTGCTAAAATGACAATCAAAAACAAAAGGATGGATACAAAGATGTGTCCAATGTCCATCATGGCAAAATCTACATGAAGACGAGTGAAGAACCGAAGAAAGTAAAATGTGAGGGTCAGACACAGAGAGGAGCTAAAGCTGAGGAGGAAAGGACCCGCACGTCCTTGTTTACAACACAGGGGGCTTCTTCTACTACTGAGGTGTTTCAAAAAAACTAGATAGATCTGTGCATCAAATTATTCCATCTGATCAAACGCTTGGAACATGGATACACACAAAAGATCGTATCATTATATTTAGTTTCCATGGAAACAGAGATTTTGAACTTCCAATCAACCGAGATTTAGATTCGATCATGGATATTTTACGCATTTAAACGATGCAGCTAATGTCCCACATTTGACTGGATGGGATGGATAGAAAAAGTAAAGAAACCAATCAGCTGGAAAAGCTACAAGGCAAAGCCCGACTTCATGACCAGCCTGCTGTTAAACCAATGCAGGTATAAAAAAAATAAATAAATGATGGGATGTACGCAGCAATACAGGCGGTGCGACAGTTTATATGATTTTTATAACAGGATCACTATTATATCCGTTTTCTGTCCCCCTGAACTCCTAGCATTGGTAAACTTTTCTGTTTTTTAAAGCGTTTTATGGATTGCTCATTTCCCTGCCTCCTGTATGACTCCAATACGATTAACAGATTTTATTTTGCATTTTCCCTCAAATTGGATGTATGTTTCTATTTTATTACAACGAAATAGAATGTATTTTATCTCATTGATTTTGTGCTCATTTTTCTTTCATGTTGTCAATAACTTCCGGTTTGAGTGCTTTTATTTTGTTGAGCATTTGCTCAACATTAAGTTAAACACAGATCCACGGTGTTGACAGCCCCTCTGAAGAGGCTAAAGCTGTGTTATTGTTTTGCACGAGTGTATTTTTCAATGTTTATTTTCTGCATAAATTCAAACATTTAATACGTTATAACAGGAAATGTTATGAGTTTTAACTATTATGGTGATGATATGTGCATTTTAAGACTGCGCTTAATGAAATATGATTCTAAAGGAATTTTAAAATCTCATAAAGCCATCAGTAAAGATGGCGTGCTGCAGCAGATGTGTTTTACTTTGTAAAAACATCTCTCTTCCTGTTAGACCCATGAAATTGTTGCTGAATTGCTGCGTAGTCCGACTAAAACAGACCTGCTGTCCATCTCCATCAGAACCTTTTCATTGAATTCTCAAATTTGAAAACTTAAGGTAAAGTTTTGATTACTTTAATTTCAAAAATGTTAACATAAATGACCCCTGACGCTGTTCTTTGTTTGCTTGATAGTCTGTAGCTCCAATGAAGTCTAGTAAAACAGTGGAAGTTTTGCAGGAAAACTAAAAATGGCGGGGCCTGTTCCTGCAGTCTTGCCTCCATGTGGAGCAGCAGAGAACGTCTAGGCTCCTCCTCCACCCTCCCAGCCGGAGCTCAGCCACCCTACTGGCTTCTATCTGTGATCTTTGCTCTTGTGTCTCATGACCACAGGTAGGGGCTGGAATGTGAACGGACCGGTCCGTCCACAGCTCTCAGCTCTTCTCTCCTAAACAGAGCAGATCTGCTCCAGCTGACGAAGCCTGAATCTGTCCTGCATCCTGACATCACACTTTAAATGTCTCTGAGTATCAGTATTGTAATTTTGATTTTCCAAACAGACATTAAGTCTGACAAGACAAGTGATCCACATCGTGTGGGAATCAGGTCACTCTTTTAGTCAAATAGTTTTAAAGAAAAAAGGAGACCAGATTAAAAACTGCTTCCATGATATTTATATCCTGCTTTGTAATCCAGGGCAGATTGAGTAGCTTTGCTCATGTTTTTTATATGCTGAGGGGAAATGGGGCAGGTCTGCTCTCTGCTCTGACGGCAGGAGGAGCTCTGAGCTCCCTGTCAGACAGTAATGGCCGAAATATACTCGCGCATTTGGGTAATCGCGCCGGTCTGTGCGTGAGACCATAGAAACGCTGACCCTTTTATAGTTGACATGGATGTAGGTGCAGTACTCGCCAAAAACACAGAGTGAAAATGTCCGAACACAGTTTTCTTCATTTAAGAACTGATGATGATTGAAGAATGATAGGTGTGCTACACAGAAATACACTGAAATAAATAAAACGGTAGGTTTACCTGCTGCACACAGAGAGACGTGATGATAGGGAAACCAGGAAACCTCCCAGTGAAGCCCATATGTACCTCTTTGTTATTTTAAAATAACAGATATTTAAAAAAACTGCGTTGTTTCACTAATTAAAGCTGAATGCATTGTATACTATGGATAGTTGTTTCAGACTTTATATCCTATGTGATGGAAACTAAATCCTTGTTTTTACCACCATCCTGGATGATAAACTCTCCCCTGTTTTCGCTGATTTTAGTCACTGAATAAACAGGAACTCTATATTTTCCAAACTGTTCCACATTGACCTTCTGCACCATTTGATGTCAGTAAAGGCAAACCACTTTATAACCTCCAATTTGGAACGAGGCTGGCGTGGTCCGCGCTTGTGTGCGGGGACGGCGTGATTGCGTCACTTTTTGGGGCGCGCACCTTCGCGCCCTGTCTGACGTGGTGAGTATAAACCAAGCTTAGCGGTAGAATGATGTCTGCTTTCATCTGGAACAGCTAAACTTACAAAAAACAAAAGTGAAAAGTCGCTGGATTTCTCTCTGGTTGCTTTTTTAAGTTACTATAGGGTCTAAAAAGTCTCCATATAAAACGATAAAGTTACAAAGTTTTCATCACTGGACTGTCCCCTCCAGTTTTCCTTCACAGCAGAGCAGCGACCTGTAGCTACCAGTTAGCTTCATATGCTAACCAGCTCCATTGTAAGACAGAAGGTGGTGGGTTGGTTTTTCAAAATAAACTCTGCAGCTAATTAGAATAAGTGCTCACATGTACCGTCTGCTACATCCGATGCTTCATTTTAGCATGCAGACGTGGAGGCTCTTATGTCGCTGCTGCGCCGCCGCCATCGATCACATGTAGGAGCTGTGGGGTTTCTCACCTGAAAGAACTGCTGGGCCTGCAGCTGCTGCACAGAGTGCTGGGAGGCCTGCGGCTGGCTGTGGTAGGCCGACTGGGCCTGATGCGTGATGAAGCTGTTGTGTGGGATCATGATGGGTGAGGTGAAGACGGGGGAGGGGACGAGCACGGCGTTACAGTTGACCTGCTGCATGGTGAAGGAGGTGATGGGCTGGTCCAAGCTGTACCTGTAAGGAGAGCAGAGAGGAGCTCAGCTGCAGAACCAACAGACACCAAGCAGGAGCTGCGGTCTGGCTGCTCACAGAGTTTGGGAGATTCCCATGTTGCACTGGGAAGGCTGGGAGGCGCTGCTGCTTGTAGGAACCACAGTCTGCATGGGCTGCTTGAGCAGCATCCTGCAGGAGAGAAACCGCTTTAGAACCGACACCAGAACCCGGCAAGGAAAAAGAGAACATCTTTCAGGCGTCTGACCGTAACTGTCCGTCATGGCTGAGCTGATCCGTCTGTCTTTGGTTCGGGTCCTGCTGAGGCCTGGTGTTTGTCTGGGAGAACATCATGGGGTTGCTGTAGAAGGGCGTCGTCAGGCTGGTGTTGGTCTGCATCGGTAGACTCACCGTCTGGGTTGGTCTGCTGCGGGCAATCCGCTGCTGAACCTGAGGCACAGACCCGGTAGCGGTAAGCTGGACAAATGGCGAAAAGCGTCTCCTAATCAGTCGTTTGGTGCAAAAAAACCAAGATCATCATTTAAATGGTCCTCAAATGGTCCTTCTTCCCATCCATGTAAGCACCACAGATCAGCAGTGCAAATCTACTTGCCAATACACTGTTTCTAAAGCACCGATACACTGGAGTGTGTATGACGTCATCCGCGTGCCGGACTGGAGTTGTAACAGGCAGCCCGGGCCACAGGCGGCTACGCTCTACCCCTTCTATACGTTCGGCTAGCTAATCTGAATCGTTCAATTCCTTTTGCAGAGTGAGATCATCTGTGGTAGTAGCACTAGACACCTTCCAGGCATGTGAGTAAAACTAGCAGCAGTTCAGCAGACAGGAAGAATGAATGGTAGCCGGCGTCGTGGATGACGTCATACACACTCCTCTTTGTTTTTAAAAAATATATAAAAATAAAAAATATAACCGCGGATGTCTGGGGGACAGTGATTCGCCTACATTTAATGAATGCTGGCGTACCATAATGATAAATTATGAACAATTTAGTTTGTGCCTTCAACTTGTTGCCCATAGGACGACGTTACTCGGATTACAAAACCAAATATCTTTGGAACAGCTCTAAATGACACAAAGCTCATATGGGTGAGTAGAACATGATGTAATAACGTAAAATCAAGGGCCCAATTAAAAAAAAAATGGTGTTCCCCTTCAATATCTGAAATCGTCATCACATCAGAGACAAAAATAACTTGGATGAAATTTATTGCTAGAAAATATCCAGAAAGTTGAGAGAGAAAAAAGTTCTTCTGTAACTTTTTTTTTTATATAAATAGGAATGCTAATTAGAGCCATAATGGGGCAGGGCGTGTCTGATTGGTGAGTTTGTAATGAGACGTAATTAGCTGCTAATGAAGAATGGGAATATTCTCTATTATAGTAAAACGACATCATCATCATCTTTCCGGCGGGTTTTACTAAACCTGTGAGGACGAAGAGGCGTTTTCTCTCAGAGGGAGCGTAGGTGAGCTGTGAGCCCCGCAGGTTGACGCTTTCTGTTGGCCTGATGGCTGCCTGATGACACCAGACTGGTTCTGGTTCTGGTTCTGCTGCGTCGGCCTTCCCGGGCTCTGCTGCTGCTGCTGCTGCTGCTGCTGCTGGGCCTGGCTGAAGTCACTGTGAATCGGCTGCTGTAACAGCATCTAAAACACAAACATCAGGAACAGCTGGTTTCTCTCTGTCCTCATTTATCAAAAATAAGTCCTTCTAAAAAAAAAAAAAACTAAATTAAAGTTAAATTTACAAATTTTATACAAACAAAACCATTCAGGCCCATTTCTGTAATTATTCTTAATACAGTTTCAGTTCATAAGCAGAATAAAGAGAGACAAATAATTAAATAATTTAATGTTAAAACAAAAATAAAAAATAGGGATTATTTTGCGTTAACAGCAGAAGTGATTATTTTCATTATTGACATTATATTTCATATTTTTCTGACAGAAAAATGGTCATAATGTGAGTGAAACTGAGGAGGGCTTTTTAAATGAGCCCTAAATCCCGAATGATTACTGATGATGATGGTAGAGGAAGCCCGGCGCATCGGAAGGCTGATAAATTTGAGTCATATTAGCAGCTTCTTTTCTCCATATCAGGTTCCAACATGAAAAGTGATTAAATATGGATGAATTTATCTAAATAGTGTTTTTATACCTCCAGATATTGAGCAGTTCTTGCTACTTTGAAAAGAACACATCTGTCTACTTTATGGCAGGGTATGTCTTTGTTGCCTAGTTGCCTTTGTTGGCTCTTGAGGGATGCACACGTTGCTGTAAGGGGCTGGGTTTGGCCTGCAGGCCCTCAGTTTGACACACGGGATTTAGATTAAGACTACCGGTATATGTCAATCGAAATGCTTAAAAGTTCAATGTAAAACAACAGCATGGTGGTCTGGGCTGCAGTAGCAAAACTGGCCTCTAGAGGGAGACAAGCTCATTACTGCTGAGGATTTAGAAACAGGCTGATTTTACTCCAATCAGCATCTATCAAACACAGATCTATCACTGTTGGTGTTCTCTGTCAAGTCTTTTTCCAGTTTGGGTTCTCCAGAAACAAACAGACCGGGTTTAAGGTTTCTTTTCCTACCTGCAGATTAGCGAGGTGGAGCTTCTCCTTGATGTCATACAGCTCCTGCTGCTGCGTCTTTATGTCGGCCTGCAGGATGCGCGTCCTCTCCTCCAGCTGCTCCTTCAGCTGGGTCATCACGCCGAGCTGAGGCTGCTGAAGCTGATACACAGACTGCTGCTGCTGCTGCTGAAGGGGGAGAAAACCGTTATACTGTGAGGAAAGCGGTGGGGAAAGAGGTAGGGTGCACTTTATGGCAGTCAGCTTGGAATCTGTAATGAACCTGATGAAGTTGATTCCTTCCTGCTATCATCTCAATCTTCATCGACATGCAGGTGGTTCAAACAATCTGTTCGTCCAGTTTGATTTGCATGTTTTCTAAGCCATAACAAGGCTTTGCTGGGCTACTCTATAAAGGTGGAACTCAATGCTAATGCAGAGACTTTGAATTTAGAGAGCTTCCTGAATCAGAATCAGGTTTATTGCCATTGTTAGTGAAGGAGTTCACAAACTAGGATTTTTTTATGGTACAATCGTGCAACATGAAACATATAATATGGAATAGGTAAATAAAATGATTAAAATATCTAAAACACTGTGGGTATAAGGCATGCAATAAAATAGACTAATATATACACTTAAGATAAAAACATGGACATAAAATATAAAAAGTAAAATAGCATCTTACAAGGAGTGCAAATAGAGCAGTGTAAATGGCATGGGAAGGTTATAGAGTCTGACATATATAACCTGCCCATGCCATTTACACTGCTCTATCTGCACTCCTTGTAAGGAGTGGGAAGCAAAACGTCTTCAAACTTGAAAGACAAAGTCCAGTGGATTGTTTTTCACTTTTTTGGAAAGACTATGACCTGGATCTTCACCTGCATACCTAATGAACCCAAGATGCAAACATCCAGCAGAGACAAGACAGAGCAAAGTCAAAGTGACCTTTGACTTTAATGAAGCATCGCTATGTTATCTGGAGGTCAGAAGAAAATACGGTAACCAGTAGTTACTGTAGCGGTGGGTAGAGATAGACCGACACATCAGCCCGATGATATTTCAGGGTCATGTTAGCATTTTTTTCTTCTCCATATTAGGTTCCTATAAGACTTTGAGTAATTTCTGCTGTTTCTTCTGGTGATTTGATTTCAGCAGAGTTGAACATCTTTATTTAATGAAATTAGACTGATGGAACGTGGAACGACTGATATTTTGGGGCTGATATATTGTGTTTCTTATATCAGCATTGGTCGATACGTGCCTCACCTCACCAATCAGCTCATCCAGCAGCCCTGACTTAGCATCATGTCGCTCCCTCTACCTGCTCCACATTGTTAATGTTTAATCTAATTAGTTAATAAAGGTTTATTTTGGTTTTCTGTAACATTTGTAATTGTCTAAATTTTTATTGTTAATACTAGTGATAAAAAACAGCCTAAAAAAAAATCAGTAGCATTTATCAGAACATCAGGATCACCAGACGTTCCCACAGTGGGAACTATTTTTCTTTTATTTCTCCTTTTAAGAGTTTTACGTATTGCATTCTTGCTTTCTTCTGGACTGAGGAGAAAAGATGAATTTCTATTGGTCTGCTGGACCTTAGCAACAGCATTTTAATGGTTGAGAGCGAGCAGGTGGAGAGAATGTGATCCAAGAAATGATTTTAAAAGAAGGAAGTTCATAAAACTGAAACAGTCTTATTTAAAAAAGGAAAATTTTAAACTATAAATTCAGGAAAAAAATGTATTACGGTAATTAAAAAAATATCTATTTGAACAAAAAATAAATATGAATAAAAACTGGGGAAACAAATCCATAAAGTTAAGCTAAACTTTTTTTTTTTTGATTGAGAAGTTTTACAATTTTATTTCTCAGTATTTCCTTTGAGAAAAAGTGTTCTTGGAACAATAATGGGACAGTTTTCTCCATAGAGGAATAAAGAATCAAAACAAAGATCTTCTCCTTAATCACAGCAGGCAGTGAAGATCAGCAGCCTGAGGAATAAACCAGCCTGGTAGCAACAGTCATAACAGGCAGATCCTGAAAACAAGCAGTGGAGAGGAAGCCCAGACACTGACCGTGGCGGAGTGCTTGCTGCTCTCTTGAGGAACGACTTCAAAGGAATTTTGTCTCTGAGCCAAAATCTACAGGGGGACAAAAGAAACACGCTCAGGATGAAGCAGGCCAAGGATGCTGCTGCTGACTGTCTTCATCTCCATGGGTAAATGAAGCAGACTATGTGATGAAGATGTTTGTTCTCAGCTGACCTTCGAGCCGCTAGGCTGGAGTCTGCCTGGCGTTTTCTCTGTTCCGACGGCGACCGGTGGCCATGATGGCGTGCAGGCCTCTGTGTAGGAGTTCGCTGCTGCAAAGAAAAGCATAGATTTAGACCTGCAATCTAAAGGAACAAACACAAAAAAAAAAACATTGTAATAAAGTATAATCATTCTCTGATCTTAACGCTACAAAAGCTAAGAATGGGAAGGAATCAATGTCCCAAACGCCAGCTCAGTCGATTTATACTATTCATTGTTTGTTAAATAAATCTTTCATCTTAGAGAATTATCATATCTAAATTAAAATTTATTTTATCCAAATTACTCCATGCAGCCATAAAAAGCTGCTTGTTATGAAAATAATTAAGTTGATTAAATTTTGATGTTTCCATCAAGCTCTTCTAATGCGATCCTCTAAAACGACATAAAACATGGATGATGGAAACATGTCTACTGACGCTCTAAGGAGGTCAATGGATGGATTACTATTTTTTATAAATATACTGGACAAACCACTGCTGAGCGTTTCTCTTTATTCTAAAGCCAGCAGCTCGCAGTGTAGATGGCCGGGCATCTGCACACCCACCCTTACCCGTAAAATAATCTAATCCGTAACTAGAGCCTTAACCCTGATTCATTTACGTTCTGCACAGAAATTAAACTTGTAGAACGTTTTATCCTCCTTTGGGTTTTTCTCTTCTTTGCCCAATACTCTGGACGCCTCTAGGGGGCAGTGTGGGGAAAAAACCATAAGTGAACACATTAGAAAACCACATCTTCTCTGTTCAGATCACAGCTCCTGATTCAGGATCCAAACAGACCAACCAGAGCCAATTATGGAAACCAGCTGAGGCCCAGGATCCTAAACCAGGAAGTGGAGAAGCTGTGGAAGCCAACACTGTGTTTGCTTTTAGAAATGGATGCTGCTATGAAACTGAGCCAGCTGCTGAGCCGTCTGCATGAAGATGCAGCAGCGACGCCTCTGCTCATTCCTGAGATCCAGTGCAACCAAAACCTAAAAGCAGCCTCACCTGATCAGAAATGTTTTTTAGGCTAATTTTCAGCAGCGCTAACATCAGAATAAGAGAATCTGTGTCCGAGTGACTTGACAGGTCAGAGAGAAGAGGATGACTCACACAGAGAGTCCGAGAGGGCGGTGTGGGATGATTTCCTGGAGCTGTGGGATGACACCGAACGGGCGCCGCTGTTTCTGTCCCTCTTGGCGTCCAGAGTGGAGCAGATGTCCAAGTACAGCTCCTGAGCCTGGGAGGGGCGGGAACAACACGCTCCAATCAGAGGCTGAACTGATTTTCTGTTAAAGTGGTTTATACTCCTCCATCTTTGTCACATCTTTACAACCACAATCATGTCGCTCTGTTCTTTCTTTTCAAGGTAATAAATTGTGTTTTTGTTTGTCCTCAGCTTCTAGTCAACGCAGCATTTGGTGAAATAAAAACCATCAAAATAATTTGTTTCTTCCTGACAACTAATTTCATTGTGGTTGGTGCTGCCCCAACTTGTTGTTCACCACATACCAAAATAAATAGTTTTTTAAGATGATGCAAAGTTGAATGTGAAACTGTTACCATTAGTTATAAAACTAAGAAAATGAAGTCTAAGGAAGTTATCATCCAGAATTGTAAAAAAGTTTTTCCTTGAATAGGGTAATGCAGTAAAGATTCTGTGCTTAACATTTTTTCCTGCATTACTTCTACTTTTATACTTGAAGAAGTTTTAAAAAATGGTACTTTTACACTTTTACTGGAATAAAAAGCTGAAGTTGATCCTCTAACTTCTACAAAATAGTTTTTTAAACAGTAGGATTTATACTTCTACTGGAGTAATAAACATCAATACTTTTGACACCTCTGATCTTTACATAACAAAATAACACAATGATAACAAATGTTACACAATTAACAATAGATATCAGGTGGAAGGATGAACGTGCTAATAGATATCGTCCGGCTGATTATCTGTCCATCTTCAGAGGAGGCTGACCCTCAAGGAGCAGGTTAGACGTATCAGCCTTTTTTCTTCTTCTCCTCCTTCTTTCTCTGATTTATTAGTGCGTTCAGCAGCTATGCCTTGAGATCATGAAATGCTCCAGCATCGCTGCTCCTTTTTTAGTTTAAATTAAGAATTGTGTAACATTTTTTATTGCTAAGCCATTTAATCGTGTGAATGGAGACAGAAAAAAACTAAACTGGCTTCAAAAATCGATCCACAAAAAGAAAATAGCTGAATAATTTGGGGATGGTTCAACTGATGGCCTTAACCCCTCCCACCAGCTGATCACTACAGCAGGTTGTATGCACCAGTTAAACTTGACGTGCTCTTCCTGTTTGGCAGGCGTCACACAGAGTTCCTTAAAGAAGGTGTGAATGATGACTGGAGCCCGGAACTCGCTCCTGGCCCGTTTTGTTTTGTTCTGCAGGACCAGACTCCTTCCACAGGTTTACCTCCCTCCAGTTTGTGGTGTAAGATGTGAAAAAAGCTCAGAGCGATAAACACAGGTGTAAGGTGCGGCCTGTGCAGAGGAGTTCCTAACTTTCACCTTCACAGAGGATGGGGCGATCTCCGGCGGAGAAAGATCCTCCAGACCAAACGCTCTTCTCCGCTCGGCTCGCACCTCGGCGTAACTGAACAACACAAACACAAACATTCAGGTTTTCTCTCCGATGACCAAGGAAGCAGACGACAGGAGCATGAGGGTCACCTGACGACGGTGTGAGTGCAGACGATGAACTCAGGTTTGGAGTTCCACTGGTGGTATGTGATGTAGTAATGAGTCTGCAGCCAGATCCACTGCTGGCCTTTGGTCAGGAAGCGGTAGTAGCAGGATTTACCTTTTCCAAACTGCATCACTGGGGAGTAGAGGGAACACAAAAGGTTCAGATGACCCGTGTTTTATCAGCCAGCCTGTAGGAGCTGAAGAGGTGAGGATGAGTGATAAAGAGGCAGCGCTGGGTTGCTTACATTGTTTGTGACACTGGGCTATCAGCTCCAGGTCATCCACGTGATAATAGTCGTAGCCCGACGTTCCCAGAACCTCAAAGGGTAAATAGCCGATGATCGGCGACGCTCTGGAATAGAGAAGGGGAAGAGAAACCAGTTTGATTGCATTTGTTCTGGATAAAAATGAGCTCTGGTATTTCTGAGGATGTCAATGTCTCACCTGTGATCTAAGAACAGGAACTTCCATTCAAGGCTGTGTCTGGACGTGAATTCGTCACAAGGATCGTCCACGTTACACAAATCCTGAAGCAGAGAGCACAGGAACGGGGTGAGGCGTCAGTTTCTGCAGATTTCTCTCTGCAGTTTTCCTGACTCAAAAACATCCTGGATGTTCCACTTTTTTCCCCACAAAACCTTCTTCTTTTGCAGGTTTCCTGACACTGCATGAAGGTTATTACCAAAAAGGGCAGCCTGAGCTGGTCCAGCATCACGCATTTGGCAGCACTAAAGCACTGCATGACCATATCTGTGCGTCACCACTGGTGGATTAAAAGCAGCTGTGGCCTCGAACTGGAATATTTAGTCTGCCTGAAGAACTGAGGCCAGTTTGGAACTGGAATGTTAAAGGAGGGATCTGCAAAAGGTTTAAGAGTTTGAAAGGAAAGACTTTAAGCTGTGCGGTCTGGAAGCAGGAGGACAGAGTCAGATGCAACAAATAAAGCAAACCTTTCAATTTGGATGAATCAAAACAGTCTTAGAGTTAAATGATCATTTTCTCTTTCATTAACATTATTTTGTGGCAGTGACTGTCTAAAAAAACCATCATCTGTGTATGAGCGTCCAAATATCGCACAAATCAGTGACTCTTCCTTTTCAAACACTATACTGTTTGTTAGGCATATAATAAAAAAACAAAAATTTTTTTGGTCTTCATTTTATATAAATAAAGAATGTTAGCAGAACCCTAGAAGGATGTTAGCAGAACTTTAGCAGGACGTTAATAGAATGTTAGCAGAACCCTAGAAGGATGTTAGCAGAACTTTAGCAGGACGTTAATAGAATGTTA